GATCAGCGGTGACTTTATTTAAGACCACCATCAAAATACTCTTTGAAGAGAATGGCATCATCTGGGTTTTTTTATGCCAGCTTGATCTACAAATCAACATTTAAAAGAATGTCTTTTCCTCTAATCCCTCCAAACCATAAAATGTCTTTGTCATTATTGTATTTTTTTTTTTCTGCTTTGACCTTTGAGGTGGTTTAGATAATCTGCTATTGATAGTTGAGTTTCATGCTCAAACATCTTGCCTCAAACTCTACACAAAAAGATCTGAAAATGCTTGGACATTTTTCTAAAAATAAATACGTATTATGTCATGAAGTATAGCATGATTTAAAAAAAAAAAAAAAAAGCCCTCCAAAATGCAGCTTTGTCTCACAGTAAAGTGTCCTGTAGGCTGAAGCAAGGAGTTTTTGTTTTCATCGGGCTGCCTGATTTGATTCCCACTAACTTCAGCGAGAACAAGACCAGGGCTGTTACCCTCCTAGCGTTGTACTCTTCTCTCTCTCAGTTTTATTTTGTATGCCATTAAGCTTGTCACTTTTTATTTCAGGCCCAGAAAACAATGCATGCTCTCTGCTAGCAGTGTGAGTTGGTGCTGTCATCTCACAGAATGAGAACTTCAGAACAGAAGTTGGATTCAAGTTTTTGACACGTTACTAGCAATTCCTGCTTCATAACCTAGTGCTTGCTGCTCTGATGAAATGAGACTTCCCAATGGTGGAGTAATGGTGAATTGTATTTTATCAGTAGCACTTGTGGGGCTGGCTGTTTTGCATTCCTCAGATTAATCTCATTGGTTTACTTTCAGTTTAAAATGTTATCAATTCAGTGCTGAAAAGTATTTCCCTCCTCTCTGTTACGTACCAAATGCCCCTTCTTTGCTTCCTACGCCATGTATTAAAATTAGTAGCAGTGTGCTTGGCTGGTTCTAATAAGCAAGATTTTTAAGCTAGCCTCTACAAAATTATGGTCAAAGGAGGGGAAAAAATGGAAAATTAAGCTATTCTAGATCACACCATAGATTAAAAAAAAATACAAACTTTGCTGTCAGTGACACAAAAGTAAATACAGGAGGTCTTGCCAACTGATTTGGAAGGACATCGTAAGAAAGCATTTTTTCAGTGACTTACAATAGGATCAGCTCCGGCAGAAGGACAGAACACTTTAAGAACAATGGTCTGTAAAGGTGCTTATAAAAGCCTGGAACTTTAATATAACAAGTAATTTATCCAGTTGGATTTCTGATATCAAAGGAGTAACAAAAGATGTACTTTGGGAGGAGCTAGCTGATTATATAGTTTTTCCTATGTCTTCATTGTATAGGGGTAAAAATCTGTATACTTAATTGCCCTAGAAAATGCCATAGTTATGGCTCTTCTTTGGGTCTGCATCAGAATCTGGATTTGTTTCTTCAAGGAGACTAAAGAAAACTTGGGGGAGGAGTGGTCCTGAGAAATAAGAGGTTTTTTGTACTGAAAACTAATACTATTTAAAGCCATTAGACTGACTTAAATAGTACTGAAATGTGTGAAAAATAGTGGGCACAATTACCAGAATGAGTGTTATATAAAATGTTACAAGCACCTGCATATTTAATCTTTAGGGAGAATGATATTTGGAATAAATATTGTACATTTGCATCTAATTGAATTCAGCTTTATAGCACTATTAAATTAAGTACAGCCATAAATACCAGAACTGGTATGGGAACAACTTTTCTGTCTGTTACAGGAAGATGTATGTCTGAGTTTGTCAAGTACATTTACACCACTCACACTTGTGAACAAACAAAACGAGCCGCTTTACCCTAAAATAGGGTCTTTTCTTTCCCAAATTCCTATTACAAGTAGAAATTGCACAGGATCATCTATTACTGCCACCTACTGATAAAGTGATAAAGAGCCGATTGAAACAAAAATATACCGACATCAACTAGAAATTACCTCAAAGGGGGAATTTTAAATTAATACACATGCTCTCAGAAACAAGAGAGCAAGCACTTCTGTTTTCACGGTCTGCGCTGCATAAGGTATCGCCTGTCACTGTGGTTCTGCTGGG